CAGGAATCTTTGGCCGCCTGAAACTGCATAGAACAGTCAAACATATGCTGTGCGACCGACCTGCAGACCCCATGTCACCGACCGTGATAACGTCCCCCGTTTCCGCATGCCGCATGTCAACGTCCTGGACGTACGTGAGACGAGGAAAAGTGCAATGACTAACCACCCACTTCCCGCTCACCATCGCCGCCCCCTCCCTTCCACCCGCTGATCAAACCATATTTTTGCAAAGAAATAACTGTTTTATTCTGCGGTGTGATGATGAATGTTGTTTGCTAAAACGACTTTGCAAGCGTAAATAAAAGTGAGGATTTTCGCCAAATTAAACCGTAAAGGATGAAAACAGCATTGCCAACTTCGTATGCCAATAAAGGGTAAGTAAACGAAAACATACTGGAAACTGTGGAAGGGGAACGTTTACTTTGGTGTTTTATCATTGGTTTCGGGTTGAGGTAGAAGTAGGTTGGTTAGTTGCATAGAGCGTATTGGGTGGGTGGGTGGTCCATAAGAAGAACTATTGGCTATATCCTACGGTTGTCGTGTGCTGTTGAACTTGACTTGCGGATGCAAGTACATCGGCCAAAACCCAACGGTAATTGACAGGCAGAGACCATGAGCGATTGCCTACTTATCTATTTTAAATGCAAAATACAACTCCTTGATCATCCGTTCCTGAACGCCTGCTAGATAGGGGTAATTATCTGCATCCCAAAATGTATTTCCGATTTATTGTTTGGGCAAAAACAACACGTACGTAGCGCTAGCTGGAGGCAGCCTATATACAACGGTTTAAATCCCACCTGGTTAACTTAACTTCACCCTGCTAGTATGTGTCTCCCTCAATAAGCCATTTTTTTCCTCACTTGGTCTAGATTGATTTGTCGACACGTCCTATGGCGTTATTGACATTTTCTGTACGAGTTCATTTTTGGATTTTTTCATACGTTAATGAAGTTATGCAGCGAATAGAAGCAGTTGAGGAAAACTCTGGAAATTTGGTGGAACCACCGACTTATTCACTGTTTATGCAGTCTTCAAATGTAAATCGGGGAAAAGTTGTTTCAAATGACTGTTAACCTGCGCTCGCAACAAACGTGCTAGCCACGAAAGGAAATGTATATTTTTCTATACCAATCATACATGGTGAGTGACTGGGCCGGTAGATGCATAAGTTTTTGCAGGATGTCGAACTATTATCCTCCCGCTGTAGTTCGTATTCAGGAGATGATAACGCTGACAACATATGGCCGCT